GTCCCAGCCACTGCTTCGGAGGGGGGGGGCTGCTGCTGCCCCTCCCTTGCCAAGCTGGCTTCTCTGGTGTGCCTGTCTGATGGGGCACCGCGGGTGGATGGCCTCAAGAGAAGGGGCGCGCCAGGAGAGACCCCGGGCAGGAGGCTGGCTGGCTGGCTGGTGGCTCCCCTGGCCAGAGCTGTCCTGGGAGACCTCCTGTGGCTGGACAGGGACATTGTGGACAGGGATCTCTTTGTGTGTGTGTGTTCCTGGCCCTTGCTGCTGGACATCCTGGTGGCCCCTGGTGTTTCTGGTCACTGTGTGACAGACAGAGTGTTGGACTGGATGGGCCACTGGCCTGATCCGACATGGGCTTCTCTCTTGTGTTCTCTTATGTTCTTATGTCTGCAGCGAGGAGCTGCTAGGATCAGTCCTGTCAAGAAACGGGGGCCCGGCGTGGCTTCCCTCATCGGGGGGGAGGGGGGGTCACCACAGCAACACACCGCCTGGTCTTCCCAGGGTGGGATTCATGGGAAGCATGGAGGAAAGAGAAGCAGGAAGCTTCAAGAGGCTGTGCAGCAGCGTCATCTGAGATTGGCAGTGCTGGGTGTCCGTCAGTCTCCCCGTGCACTGCGGAGGCTGGAGAACTCCAGTGCAGAAGTCTCCCCCCTGGCCCCTGGGGATTTGGGGCACCTCCTGGGGGCGGGTCTTGCACCCTTGGCAGAAGTCAAGCGCTGGCCGCTGTGCTTGGAGCTCCCCTGCCTTGACCAACACCTACTTCCTCCCGAGAAAGGCCAGCGGAACCCAACAAGGAAACCGGCCTCAGAGTCTCCCGGTTGTGCAAGCGGCACAGATTAAATGGAGAAGTTGGGCTTGCAAGGGGTGCTGAACGAGGCTTGACTTGTGAGGGATGAGCCACGGCAACGTGTTTTGTGTATCAACTCCAGGGAAGTGCAAAGTAGTGTCTGTTCCCGTCCACCCCCCCCCCCGCCCATCCAGGACTGTAACTAGATCAGTCCTGCTTGTGCAGAAGGGGGGGGGGCGGGGACCGACGGACAGTGTTTAACCTGCACCTGCTGTAAGGCCAAGGGGCTTAGGGCTGTTGGGCCGAGTGCACCCCCTGCTTTTTGCCACCTGCCACAGCCGCCTGCAAGGGCCATTTGAGGAAAGAGAAGCCCCTGCCCGTGGGCCTGTTCAGAGCCCTGGCGGCAGAAGTGCTTGGCAGATGCCACGGGGCTGTTGAACGGTTTCCCAGGAAATGTATTTTGTCCTGACAGGCTGCTTCGTGGTGCTGCTGCTGCTGAGATCCTTCAGAAGCACAAATGCAGAATGGCTCATGATTGGCGCTGGCTTGCCAGAGCCCGGCAGGGGTTGCTTGTGTGTCCCTTGCAACGGGGTCTCTGTTTTCAGCAGAACACAGCAAGGAGCTTCGTGATGCTGCCTGCCCTCTGAACGGCAGCACAGGTGCTGGGGAACAAGGTGTGTGGGGGGGTGCCAAGCAGGGACGTCAGGGGGCTCTGCCTGCGACCTGGAATGGTCTGCTTGTGGGTTCCCTTTCCTTCCTCGTCCCCAAATCCCAGGGCTGTGTGTGTGTGTGACTGCCTGCTTGGCTTTGCTGGCCCCGGCCAAGAGATTTGTGACAGAAGAGGAAAATGCTCTTTTGTGAGCCCTGCTGTGAGGTGGGCGTTCCCGGCCGAAGGGACGGTCTCAGTTTGGCAGGTGAACAACATCACGCGATGCGGTGCAGGGGCCAGCTTCGGCCTGGAGGCACCTGAACGCAAATCTCTATTCAACCGTGAAGCTGCTGCCTCCCGTGCTCAAGGCGGTGCTTTCTGTAGTAATGTCATTACTAATATGCCGTTCAGAGAAATGGCTTCAGACAGTAAAACCTCAGTTCAACAGCCTGAAAGCAACACATGCAGACCAGACTTTTCCAGTCTCCTCAGGCAAAACCATAGCCAAAATTGCTCTGAGAGACTCCTCTGGGCCAAGGGCGTGTCTTGCAGAATTGCCCTGCCTTCTGGCAGACGGCTCTGTGGAGCCGGAGCTCCTGCTGGAAAGTCCCGGGGTCTCGTTGCGGAGGCTGGTGGATGGGGCGGCCCTGAGCCGGTGTGTGGCTCCCGGTTGGGAGGCATAGTCCTGTGTGTTCCAGGGCTTTCAAGGTCAGAGCCCAGAAACAGAGAGGCAGCCCGTCCTCCAGACTGCTGGCTTGAGCGGTGCGTGCTGGTCCTCCACACCTACCCACTGGAGGTAAAGGGCCGTGTAGGTTGTACCGCCTGAAGCTTCCAGAGAGCAATGGATTCCTGCTCTGAACAGCTGGGACAAAAGTTAAGTGCGCCTGGAGCAGCAGAAAGAACCAGAGAGCAGTTGAGGCGGTTAACCTTAATGTGTGGATAGCAGGATACCTATCTGAACTCTGACTTGCCAGCTCCGGTGCCCAGGCAGACATTCAGTACTTATCGTCTCTGACGCATCAGGGAAATGTTACAGTGAGCAGCTCTGACTGTTTTTGTGGCTTTCTTTCCTTGACTTGGTGATTTGCTCCTGGGAGCCCGCTCTCTTCTGGCCATGATAGTATGGGAGAGTTTTGCCTCTCAGTGTACGGCAGCGAGTCTCTGCCCCAAGGAACTTGCGTTGTGAGATTTGGCCTAAGGGAGAGGGCCGATCGAAGAGAGGGTGGCGGAGGCAGGAATGAAGAGTGGAAGAATCTGTGCTCCTTCCGGTTCTGTATAAGGGGCAGGGTAGGGAAAAGGATTTCATGGAGAAAGAGGATTTTCAGGCAGGAGAAGAGATGAGAAAACTGCCCCTGTAGGATTTGTGTTAATTTGTGCAATAGAAAAACTGACAGAACCTGGAAAACACTGAGAAAGAAAACTCCAACGATTTTTTCCCCTTTTTGGAAAGAGTGAAATAAAAGAGGTTTTACTCACTGTTGTATGAAGACTTTGATATAAACTAATCTGCAGCATTAGATTATGACAATTCCTATGTATTTTATTTATTCAGTTGTAGCTTTTCTCACTGAGACTTCCTCTGATAAGGAATGTAATAGGACTAGGGTTACAGAACTCGGGGGGGAAAGCTCAAGTTATTAGGAAGGATATATTAAATATTGAAGTAAATGGCATTGCATAAGTGGAAGGCAGCATAGTGGAACCAGGATAACAAGTGGCTAAATTTGCGGATGAAGTGGCTAAATTTGCGGATGATACGAAGTTGTTCAGGGTGGTGAAAACCAGTGAGGATTGTGAGGCACTCCAAAGGGATCTGTCAAAGATGGGCAAGTGGGCGTCAACATGGCAAATGGGGTTCAATGTGGCCAAGTGCAAGGTGATGCACATTGGAGCCAAAAATCCTAAATATAAATACACATTGATGGGGTCTGAACTGGCAGAGACAGATCAAGAGAGAGATCTTGGAGTTGTAGTAGATAACTCACTGAAAATGTCGAGACAGTGTGTGACTGCAATAAAGAAGGCAAATGCTATGCTGGGGATTATTAGGAAGGGTATTGAAAACAGATCAGCCAATATAATAATGCCCCTATATAAATCAATGGTGAGACCTCATTTGGAATACTGTGTGCAATTCTGGTCACCACACCTTAAAAAGGATATTATAGCTTTGGAAAAAGTGCAGAAAAGGGCAACTCGAATGATAAAAGGGTTGGAACACTTTCCCTATGAGGAAAGGTTAAAGCGCTTAGGGCTCTTTAGCTTGGAGAAAAGACGACTGAGGGGTGACATGATCGAGGTTTATAAGATTATGCATGGGAAAGAGCAGGTAAAGAAAGAGGTACTTTTCTCCCTTTCTCACAATACAAGAACCCGTGGGCACTCCATGAAATTGCTGAGCGGTCGGGTTAGAACGGATAAAAGGAAGTACTTCTTCACCCAAAGAGTGATTAACACTTGGAATTCACTGCCACAGGAAGTGGTGGCGGCTACAAGCATGGACGGCTTCAAAAGGGAATTAGATAAGCATATGGAGCAGAGGTCCATCAGTGGCTCTTAGCCACAAGGTATAGATAGGGACTCTGGGGCAAGTGATGCTCTGTCATCTTGGTGCTGGGGGGGTGAGGTCAACAGTGGGAGGGCTTCTAATGTCCTGGCCCCACTGGTGGACCTCCTGATGGCACTGGTATTTCTGGCCACTGTGTGATACAGAGTGTTGGACTGGATGGGCCTTTAGCCTGATCCAACATTGGCATCTCTTATGTTCTTAATACAGCAAACAAGTTTTTTGTCTACTGATCAGGGAATGCCTGCTCTACACAGTGATTTAGTCACTCTCTTTAAAAAGTGTAACCCCTAAATTCTTGATCAAGCCACTGAGAGTTAGCTGAACCCCATGGAAGATGGGAAGCACAGTTACCTTCGACGGCTCCGCCTTGCCAACCAGCATTATCTCTGTCTTGTCAGGATTTAGTTTCAGTTTGTTGACTTACAACATTTTCAAGATTTTTTAAAAGTGTAAATAATAATAATAATAAAAAATAATGAAAAGTAGATACATCACCCTGCCAACAAAAGCCTGTATGGTCAAAGCAATGGTATTCCCGGTAGTAATGTATGGCTGCGAGAGTTGGACCATAAGGAAGGCCGAGTGCCGAAGAATAGATGCTTTTGAATTGGAAGAAGACTCTGGAGAGTCCCTTGGACTGCCAGGAGATCAAATCAGTCAATCCTAAAGGAAATCAACCCTGACTGTTCCCTGGAAGGCCAGAAGCTGAAGCTCAAATTCTTTGGCCACCAAATGAGAAGGGAGCACTTACTGGAGACGACCCTGATGCTGGGAAAGACTGAAGGTCAAAGAAGACGGGGACGGCAAAGGATGAGATGGTCAGACAGTGTCATCGATGCAACGAACATGAAATTGAGCAAACTCCGGAGCACGACTGAAGACAGGAGGGCCTGGTGTGATGTCGTCCATGGGGTCGCGAAGAGTCGGACTCAACTGTGCGACTGAACAACAACAAATAATTTTGGCAACAATTAATATGCAGTAATGAGTTTATTGCCACAATGCTCCCTCTGTGGCTTGTAGGGAGCTGCTGTGTGGTGGATTGCACTACGTATTGTATTTGTGGGGGAGATGCTTAGCATTTGGCAGCTTCAGTAGTAAAACGTTGACCTCCTGCATTGAATTTGAAGGTGGCCTTTCTTTGCAGCACCATCTTCATGAGCGAGGGCTGAGCGAGGAGTGCTTTCCACAATCTCTAGGCGAAACTGAATTATTCAAGAGGGCTGTTCTATGCAGGCAAATAGGGCTGCATGGTACTAATTGAGGAGGAGGAGGAGGAGATTGGATTTATACCCCGCCCTCCACTTGGAGTCTCAGAGTGGCTTACAAACTCCTTTCCCTCCCCCTCCCCACAACAGACAGACACCCTGGGAGGTGGGTGGGGCTGAGAGAACTCTGACACAAACTGCTCTTTTTCAAGGACAGCTCTGACAGAGCCTGTGACTGACCCAAGGTCACATCAGCAGGTGCAAGTGGAGGAGTGGGGAATCAAACCCGGTTCTCCCAGATTAGAGTCCACGCACTTTAACCACTACACTTGATTCACGAAGCTACTTGGGGAAATGATTAGAGACTGTGGTCTGTGCTGGAACTAGGATCCTCCTGTGGAATTCTGCGTCATTTAATGCGTCTCGGCTTCAGGTTCTGTTTTTAGACTTCTGGTTGATTCTGCAGCCCTAACCCTGTTGCATTGCTTATTGAATGTCCCACCCATCGGTTGTACTGGTTCACTCTCTGTAATCCGCCTTGAATCCAATTGGAAAAGGCATAAATAAATGGATCCAGGTGGGGCAGCCATGTTGGTCTGAAGCAGGAGCAGCAGCGAGTTTGAGTCCAGCCGGGGGCACCTTCAAGACCAGCAAAGTTTTATTCAAGGTATAAGCTTTCGTGAGCAAGCACAGATCTGAAGACGTGTGCTTGCACACGAAAGCTTATACCTTGAATACATATTCAAGTAATTCAGAACACTTTTTGCTGAGCGGCACGCATTGGTGGTACCGCCAGCCATCTGCGGGGGGTGGGGGGGGGGAGGAAGGTCAGCCAGAAGGGAGGCACTGCTCCAAGCCAGCTGGCTCACTCTCCCAGGAAGGGAAGCCGCCGTGCCCCGGGCACGGTTGCCCCTTCGGGGTGCCAGTGTTTGTAGAGAGGGCACAGCCAAACCGGCACGTGGTGGGTGGCGTGGCTGGCCTCTCTGTAGGACCCCTTCTTTTCTGCTGCCCTGGAAAGGAGGAGGGTCTTGGCTGGGCAGGAGAGGGTCGTGCCTCTTCACCGGAGGCGCCCAGCTGTGGTTCTGGGTAGATCCCTCAGGCCCGCTCTTGGCTGCTGATGCTGCTGACCTCGGTGGTGGTGGTGGTGGTGGTGGTGGTGTTGCCGCTGGAGTTCAGAGCAGCTGGGCTGTTTTGTGCAGGAGGAAGTCCTGCCGGCCTCCTAGGCCTCTGAAGAAGTGAGCCGTATGACTCACGGAAGCTCCTACCCTACCCTGCCGCCACATATTTTGTTAGTCTTCAAGGTGCTACTGGACTCTTGCTCTTCCCTGCATCCCTAGGCAGTGCTTAAGGTCTGCACTCCTGCGACAGGTAGGCAGCTCGCTGCTTGGGATGACTTGGGGCTGCAGCAGTGTGGGAGTCCTTTCCCTGGGGGGTTGACCTATGCCGCTGGGGGGCTGAAACAGCTGGGTGCACATGGCTGTGGGGGGGGGGCTGTCCTGCATGGTCAGGCTGGTTGCAGCATTTACTCCCGCCCTCCAGCTGCATCTGAAGGGTCTCCCTTCTTGCTGCGGCTCCAAAGGAAGGAGACCAAAGCACCGCCCAGAGGCACGCCCTGTAAAAGAGCAGAGGCACCCACGGGAAGATACCCTCCAGAGCTTTGCTTTCTCTCCCCCCCCCCCCCCCCCCCGCTGAGTAGGTCACGGAGCTCTCTCCGCTTGCTGATTTCCACAAATATGTTTTGCTCCCTGGTCAAAGTGGGCAGACAAGCGCTCAGTTGCCGTTGCCGGCACTAGCAAGCCAGCCATGTTGAATGAATTGATTAATGGAAATGACTAATTAATTCCTTTTGACATCGACAGGCGGACTTGGCATGTTGCTGGAGTTGTTATACTTGCCCTTAAGCCTTGCTTTTAGCCTTTTGGCATTAATGCACGAACGGTGTGAGTTTGCAAGCATACTTAGCATGGAAGCCAGTTGCCTCGAAATAGCTGTGACTTCCAAGTAGACCTTTCAGGTCAAGGTGACTAGTGTGATCCATTTGTCTTGATTTCTGCAGTAGCACAGTACACTCCACCACCACCCCCTCTAAAAAACACACTCACACATTGTGATCCTTCTATTATAAGCCGTCCTGCTCTGGTAATGGAGAACGTGGTTCTGACGCCTGCCGCTTTTGTGATGAGGGCTGTGTGTGTGTGCTGTGTGAGTCCTCACAGTGCTCTGTGCTTTATTTTGCAGGGCTGCTCTGGAAGAGGTAGAAGGAGATGTGACTGAGCTTGAACTGAAGCTGGAGAAGGTGAGCGCCCCTGACTTAACAGCTTCTCTTGCTGTGCTTGTGGGGGGGGGGGGCTTTGAAACCGTGGGGTAGTCGTCCTGAGCTGTGGGGGAGCAGCGCTTGCTCTGAAAGAGCTTCCTGCTCACTCCCCCCTGCCCCCTGCACAGGCGCCTGTCCTCTCACTGGCCTGGAGCTGCGTTTGATTCTCGGGTGTCGTCAGCAGGATAGTTGGACCCCCCAACCAGGAAGGAGAGGACCGGGGTGGTGGGGCCTCTTCGTGTCTCTTTTGGGACCGAGAGCCATGGATGGGCTGAAGAGGAAGGCGGCCTTGCTGGCCAGGCCGGTGATTCTAGACGGGTAGCAGTCTGGAGTCGGACCCGCGAGCTGAAGGGGGGGTGGGGGTGGCGGCAGCAGCAGCCCTGTGTGTTCAGACCCCCCCAAGGGTCCTGGCAGATGCCGTCTGGGCTTAGGGGAGAATTAGACGTGGCCTCAGGAGGGCCCCGCTCCCAAGGTGTGCGTCATGGCGCCTTCGCCTCACCAAGCAGGTGGGTTTTTTGTCCGTGGTTTAAAATGCTTGCCAGACTTCTCTGAGCCCAGCCACTTGTGGCTGCATGAACAACGGGAGGGACCGTGGCTTGGTGGCAGAGCCGCTGCTTGGCATGCAGAAGGTCCCAGGTGTTCAATCCCCGGCAGCATCTCCAGTTAAGAGGACCAGGTAGGAGGTGCTGTGAAAGGCCTCTCTCTGCCTGAGACCCCCCTGGAGAGCTCCTGCCACTCTGAGCAGACGGTACGGACCTTGGTGGGCTGTTCCGTGTCAGGCAGCTTTGTGTGTGTGTCTGTCTGTCTGTGGTAGCTAAAAGGACCTGGTTGCTGTCAAAAGTAAGGTTGTGCCTGAATGGCGCGTGGAGGCATGAGGGAGACAGCTGCACGGAGCATCGTTCAGCACGCGGTGCTGCAGATTCGTTCAAAATATGAACAAACCCTTGATAGAACAGAACGCTAAATATTCCTTCACCTCTATGCATTCAAGAGGCCGGGTTGTTCTTTCCCTTCCTCCTCCCTGTTTTGGAACTGGCCCCGTGACCGGCCTTTTCTTCCCTCCCATGTAGAAGAAGTTGTTTTTTTCCATTTTAAAGGCGCTGCAAGTTTCTTAAAGGACAGAAAGAAAATATTCTCTTAGCAACTGGGGCCTCGGGGTGCTGGAAATGCAGAGAGCAAGGCAGGGGTGTGCCGAACATCTTGGAGCTCGAGAGCACCCTTGGGATTTGGAGAGGGCCTGGCGAGTGCCACCACGGAGCAGCAGCCGCAGCAGGTGGAGGGAGGCCCCCCCCCCCCCCCCCCGGAGAAGCCCCAGGGCAACGCACAGCAAGAAGGTCAAAGGGAGACAGTGGGCACGCACACACCTGTAATGACCAAGGGCGGAAAGGGAGAATAAAGCACACACAAGACTGCACACAAACACTCACAGAAGGCAGCCAAGGGAGGGGGGTAAAGCACACACACACACAGAGACATGCACACAACTACTGGGGGGGTGGGGAGGATAAAGACACACACATAAGGATCACGGCATCCAGGAAGGGGACAAAACACATATGCAAGGAGCCTGCGGTGTGTGTGTGTGTGGGGAGTTGACACAGGAGTGTCTTACTCTCCCTGGCAGCCGTTTGGGTGCAAGCCCCTCCTCAGAGACGGGGCAAGACGTAAACAGGAGGGGTGCTTGACTTGGGATGCTGGGAACAGAGAGTGAGAGGCGCTGCGGTGCTTTTCTCCCTGTCCCAGCATCTCTTCATTGCCCCCCCCCCCCCGCAGCTGCCTGGGAACAACAGGAAGAAGAAGAAATTGGATTTATTCTCCTTGCCCTTCACTCAGAGTCTCAGAGTGACTTACAAACTCCTTTCCTTTCCCCTCCCCACAACAGACACCCTGTGAGGTGGGTGGGGCTGAGAGAGCTCTGGCAGAAACGGCTCTTTTTCAAGGACAGCTCTTATCAGAACTGTGGCTTGCCCAAGGTCATCCAGCAGCTGCGAGTGGAGGAGTGGGGAATCAGACCCGGTTCTCCCAAATTAGAGTCTGCGCACTTAACCACTACACCAAACTGGAGGAAGTCAAGCACTTCTCTGCTTTACTTCTGGCCCCAGCTTGGAGGGGAGGTCTTGTCAGGTTTCCCAGTCAAACACTCAACAACGTTCCTTGATAGTCCAGTTTATTGAGGTTAGTACTGGTGGGACCATGAATACTTGAGTCAGGAATAACCAAAGGCAACATGGTGGTTGCAGATATACCCCCTTCAAACCAGGCCCCCTGATATCATAAACCCGGCAGTCAAGTTCCCAGCGGGAAAAGTGGAGGAGGGAGAGCCAAGCCTTTGAGGTCTCTAGGCAGATAGCAAAGGCCATGGAGACGCCGGGGGGGCGGGGCGGAGGAGGGGGCCGGGGTGGACGGAGGAACACAGAGGCCAGGCACCCCCTCCCGCATCCCAAGGCAGGAATGGGCAGGAGGAAGGCCACGGCTTGCTCTCGGTCAAGCCCCTCCTCTGTGCGTCTTCAGGGACCCCTCCCGGATCCCCAGCCTGGAACACTCCCCACATTTTCTGCCACGCAGTCACCCTAATTAACACGACAGCTGGACTCAAGTCCGGCAGCGCCTTGAAGACCAACAAGATTTTTTTTGGGGGGGGTTTTGAGTTTTTGAGAGTCCAGGCACATCTCTGACCAGGGGAGCTTTAACTCCCCGAAGCTCAGACTCCCCAAAGACACCTTGGCAAGCACGCTGCTGATCCTGGCCAGCTGGAGGCCAAGGGTAATCTGTAGCCGAACACTCACAGATGGAGGAAGGGACGTAGTGAGCCAAAGAAGGAAACTAGGAAAGAACTTGGCAGGAAATACCGGAAGCGAAGGCTTGAGCCCTGTTTGTTGCTACAGAGCACACAAGTGCTTCATGGGGGGGGGGGAGGTGTACAATAGAGCTAGCAAAGCTAGATGGGTCCAGTTCCTGCCTCTCGCCTCCCCTCTGGCTGGCTGGCTGCTGCCTCTTTCTTGACCCAAAGTGATACTCTTAGGAGCGCCTTCTCTTCCTGCTGCCCTTTGTAACTTCCATGAGGGCACAATGTTCCCGCTGCCATCTCTCCCCAGATGGCCTGGAATGCCTTCTCTGCCCTTCCTATCCCGTCACGGAGCTCCTTGACAGGAAAGGACTTCCGTTTCTTTCAGAGAGTAAGAAGCCTCGTGTGGATTTCATGCCTAAAGGAGAGCAGCACCCCCTTCCGCAGTGCAAAGCCCACTCTAAGCTAACAGAACGTGTTCCTGGCCGTGGCTCCGTGGCAGAGCAACTGCTTAGCAGGCAGAAGGTCCCGGCGGGATCCAATCCCTGGCATCACCAGCCGCAAAGGACCGGGCGGCAGTGTGCCAGAAACAGCTTTCCCTGGTGTGGAGCTGAGGGAAGACGGGATCTTGCCCGCCCTGGGGAAGGACACAAGAGGCAAGGGGCGTCTGGCATTCTTCACAGGCTGCCTGGCTGGCAAACGGCACCGGTCTTGGCAGGGGGCACCGACCTCAGACTCAGGAAGGTGGCTGGGCCACCCGGCGCACACACATGGGATGCCCTGCCAAGGGCAGCAACGCGCACACAACCCGAGGGCGGGGAGAACCCCTCTTCAGGCCTTCCGGGCCAGGGAATGGATTCCACTTCTGTATGGCGGGGTCCTCTGCCAGCAGGTGAACACTTCTGTTTGGCCCCCACGCCCAGTCACCTTTGCCAGCCCTCCTCCCTCACGGCACTGTTACGGAGGGGAGGGGCCGTGCCTCAGTGGTGGAGCCTCTGCTTGGCATGCAGGAGAGGTCAGAGGTTTGACCCCCCCCCCCAACCTCTCGAGTTACATGATGTGAAAGGCTGGCTAAGGCTCAGCGGTGGTGTGAGAACAAGCTCACGGTTTGTTTGGCCTCCAGCCTCGCACATTTGTGCCTTAGCTCAGGAAGGGGATGGGCTCCAGAGCAAACTAATTTATGTAGGAGCCAAATTGTTCGCTCACCACTTTAATGCCAGGAGCGCGGCAGCTGGCGGACATTCGCTTCTAGCTAAAGTTCGATTAAAGTTCATTGTATGTGGTCAGTCATAGTCTTCATCCTGTAATCGAAACGATATATAGCACCTGCGCATTTGACTTAATAAAGAACAATATAAGAAATAGTTAATACTCATATAGCTTTCTAGAAACAATAACAACTCGACATCTATCCTTTTTCTTTCTCAACTGATAAGCTTTTTGGGGGGGGGGGCCTGCAGCCCCAAGATTCGAACCTGGGTCCTCATCAGAAGATGCCACTTCTCCGTCTTTGTCACTCCCCTTTTGGTACTGTCATCTTGATCTGTTTATCTTCTCCACCTGCCGGACGGTTATGATGCTGCAAAAGCTCCAGTGCCTTTTTCTGCAGTATCAGTTTTTTCTTCCTTGTCCTTAAATGTGAAGAGTATGCCTTCAGGCACATTCCATCTGCAGGGTGCCCGGTGCGGCGTGTGCCCTCAGCCATCCTGCCGCGTGCGCTCAGGGCGGAGAGGGTAGGGGGACTTTTCACCAGGGCCTTGTCTCGTTTCAGCTGGTGAAGCTCTGCATTGCAATGATTGACACGGGGAAAGCCTTCTGCGTGGCCAACAGGCAGTTCATGCATGGCATCCGAGACCTGGCCCACTACTCCAGCCGGGATGCTCTAGTGGAGGTGAGTGTGTGGCCAGTTTCCCCCCTCAGACGCCCCCGAGGTTCGCTTGCCTTGCTGTTCCGGAGGAGCGGTACCTGTGAGCGGCTGTGCATTTGGCCGGGCGGCTGGAGGGGGCTGGTTCCTGTGCTGGGGGCCACTTTTGGGCCCTGGGCCCTGGGGGAGCTCCTCTCGCTCCGTCCTTTCCCCGGCTCTCCACAGCCGGGAGCCTTTCCCGTCTCTTGGCCCTGCGTGTGGCAGAGGGGGTGCCGAGAAAGCCGGGGGGTGTCCTTAGACCCCAGTCTGCCTGCGCTGAAACTGGCCAAGGCTTTCTGGCCAAGAAAGTGCTGCACACACCTTTGGGGAAGGCAGGAGGAGAGGCAGGGAGGCTCCTGGCTGTGGAGAGCGCCTCTCAGAGAGACGGACCCTGGGCAAAAGATGATGCTTTTTCTTCTGAAACGTCTTCTTGGGGGGTTTGGCCAAACGGGGGATAGGGGCAGCAGTAGCACAGACCACATAGGCCTGTCAAGTATTTAAGACTCCGTTCTGGGCATTTTCAGATATAGTTTTTTAAAAACAAAGTTTCCCCCAGGCATTTAAGAATCATAGAATCATAGAGTTAGAAGGGGCCTTAAGGGTCATCTAGTCTAACCCCCTACACAATGCAGGAAATTCACAAATACCTTCCCCCCCCCCACGCACACACACCCTGTGACCCGTGTTCCAAGCCCAGAACATGGCAAAGAAAAACCCTCCAGGATCACTGGGGGCCAAACTGGCCTGGAGGAAAATTGCTTCCTGACATCAAAGTGATGATCAGCATTCCCCTGGGCCTGTGAGAAAAAGGGCCCCGAGAATGAAGCACTGATGCGCCAACCCTTCCCGCCCTTCCCCTGCTGACAGATGGGGCCGCCTGGCCTCGGTTTGGAAACCTCCCGAGGAGGAGGAGAGCCCACCCCACCTCCCCAGGGGAAGCCTGTTCCACTGAGGACCCGCTCGGACTGTCAGGCAGTTCTTCCAAATGTTTAGCCGAAAGCTCTTTCTGACTTAATTTCAACCTGTTGGTTCTTATCCGACCTTCTGGGGCACCCGGAAACAACTCTGCGCCATCCTCTGTATGACAGCCCTTCAAAAACTTGAAGATGGTTATCCTATCACCTCTCAAGTCGTCTCCTCTCCAGGCTACACAGACCCAGAGCTCCTTCAGCCTTTCCTCATAGGACTCGGTCTCCAGACCCCCCACCCTCTTTGCTGCCCTCCTCTGGACACATTCCAGCTTGTCTAGATCCTTCTTACATTGTGGTGCTCAAACCTGAACACAGTACTCTAGGTGAGGTCTAACCAGAGCAGAGCAAAGTGGTCCCACGAGTTCTGTTTATCTTCTCCACCTGCTCACGAGTTCACGTGATCTGGACGCTATACTTCTGCTGATACAGCCCCAAAGGGATCTGGACAGAGAAGTGATTGAGCCTCCTTACCTGAAATGCACCTGGCGGCACGAGGAGTGGGGTGGGGATGAGCCAGCAGCAGCTCCAACCCAGCAGGTCTGCTCAGGGGAGCAGATGTCGTGTGCGTGTGGGGGCTGTTGGTGCCCAGAGGCAGCCCTGCAAGAGGCTGTCTGTGCCCCAGCGGGGGCCCCACCGCCCCCTCGGACAGCCGGTCCCAGTGCAGAGCTCTTCTTCCAGCCCAGCAAGCCTTTCCACCTTTCGGCTTCCCTCCCCCTTTTTCGATATCTGTGATCTCGGGACCCCCGCCCTCTTTGTTCTTTAAGGGAAAACCTTTCCTTCAGTTCGATGTGAACTTGGATCCCTGTTCCGAGAGAAAGGTCTCCTCAGCCGAGCCCCCAGGCCCACCCGTCCTTGTTTGGGTCGCTCTCTGGGATCTGCTTCAGTGCTCATTGGGGGCAGCTTCACCGTGATGTGCCAGAGCGGAAAGAACACCGCTTTCCCTCCTTCTCTCCTGTCTTCCTTTACAGACCAGCCTGACCAAGTTCTCGGACAGCCTTCAAGAGATGGTTGATTGTCACATGGTAAGTTTTGGAAAAATCACCTGACCACAACTGACCGCTTCTTCTGTACGGCTTTCTTCCGTTATACGTCTAGGCCACCCCTTTTGCTATGGGTTTCATTTTTCAGAAGCTGAGGGTCTTGGGGGGGGGGGGGGGGATGGGGGGGGTTCATTTTCTTTTGGGCTTCCTGGAACGTTGGCTCTGGCACACTCTCTGTGGCCTCGGACGTCCCTCCGTGGAAACTCCGCACTGTGACGCCGGTCAGTCCCTCCCTCCCTCCCTCCCTCCCACCCATCCACCCCTCGCTATCAGCCTCACGGGCAACAGGGTGCATCTGCAGGCAGAGTTTGCAGGTTGCTCTACCCCACCCACCCCCCTTTTAATTTTCCAGACCTCTTCCTGTGGAGGCTGTGCCAGAGATTGTGTCTTCCGCTTCGCCTGTAGGCTGGCCCTGCAGCCCTTTCTCCGTCTGTGTGGCAAATGGTGTTGGTGGAGGACAGGAAAAGGAGGAAGCGTTGGCTCCGTGTCATCAGCAGCCCTTGCAGTGCGGGGGGAGAGAGAGAGAGAGAGAGTGTGTGTGTGTGGGCCTGAGGGAGAGAGAGAGAGAGAGAGAGGCTTTCCCAGCACCAGCAAGAGCAGGATGTGCAAAGGGAAGGAGGGTGGAAGATGAGCCGGGTTGAGAGGAGGAGGAGGAGGAGGAGGAGGCCCTCCCCTCCCCACAGCCAGGGCTGGTCTCCAGCTGGGATCCCACACGTGGGAGGCGCTGTGCAAATCTGGTGCCTGGCAGTGCCCCTTGGTGGGAGGCGCCTGGCACTGCCCTCGGTCTGCAAGCAGAAGAACGTGGGAGGGAGCTTAGAGAGACGACTGAGAAACAGGATCCGGCCACCAGTCCGGGTGGCTCCATTTTGGGTCCTCTGACTGGCCGAGGCTCTCCTGGCCCTCCCACTTCAGGTGCCTCCTGTCGAGGAGGCCCTGCTGCACAGCTGTAGAGCTGAGCCGTGGCCTCGGGGGGGGGGGTGCAGTTTCCCATCGCTGGTCCAGGTCCTGAAGGAGCAGCTCCTCCCTCCAGCCGCCCAGCTCTTCTCTTCTGCCGGGGAGGGGGCCGTGGCAGAGCACCTACTGGCCCCGCGCAAGGTCCCCAGTTCAGTCTCAAGGACCGGGCGGTAGGTGCCCTGCAAGGCCTCTCTCTGCCTGAGACCCTGGATGGAGGGCCCCTGCCAGTCCAGAGTAGACCGTACTGGGGTCTGATTCAGCCGAGGGCAGCTTCAGGTGTCTGTGTGTCCAGAAGGAATGAGATCCCGCGGGAGCACGCGGAGAGCCGCTTTTCACGCCTCCCACCAACCCCAAGCATCTCTGCCGGGACTTTCACCCGCGTACGGGTCTCAGGCCGCTCCCTGGCCTCCGAGCCGGGACCCCTCTTAGGAACCCAGGCTGTCCTGCTGACTCCTGCCACCCTGACAAGCACCGGCCTGGTTTAGGCTCCTTACGTGGGACAGAACGACCTCGCAGCAAGACACGTGCCCTTCCTAAATAGAAGCACTTACCTTGCAATGAAAAGCCATCGGTTGTAGAAAGAAAAAGATGCTCCTAGGGAGCAGCGTGGGGCTGCTGCTGAACTCGGACATATGGGAAAGAGAGACAAACACAATCCTACA